AATATTTTGATTTTGAAATGATGCTAATATCTTAAATGATAATTTACAATCATTATGACAATCTGAAAAATTTGCCTTGAAATCTGATACACACATATAAAAAATGTTACAAAATAATTGTTCTGATGCTAACACATAATCAACCACACTACATCCATTGTATTTAAAACATGTATATTTTCCTGTATTATTACCTAATATTCACCCGTTTGAAATGCGTATTTGATTGCAAATACAAAAAAAGTAGTTCCTTCCCTGTAGAATCTACAATACTATCGCATCTGGTTCTTCTCACATTTAAATCATCAATAATATAATTGTTATTGTTTAATGAAACGTGGTGTGTATTATTCCCTTCAATAAAATCACAATCAGTTCCACTTCTTGCATTAAAATCACCATGCAAGATGATCTCACTCTTGCTTCCATATTTGTCAATAATGTCTTTTTCTAATATTTCTATAAGCTCAATTGAGCTTTCGGGGGCATAATAGACTACACAGATATATATATCTATCTTAAAATTGAAAATTTCTTACAGAGTTTTAACAATTGGTACTCAGATGTACCGTCATTCTGAAATTTCACACCTTTTCTGATATTATTACGTATCAAAATATCTAACCCACCAAAGTATCTGTTGTTCTTTGGTTTACTTCTACCAAAGGGGTAATACTGAAGATGTTCAAATGAGATACAAGAATCATATCAGATATGTGTTTCTGTTAGGAATATCAGGTCATTATTTCTGAATTCAGCAAACAAACTAGGGTCTGTTGTTTTATCATAATTTTCTGGTTTATTAGATATCAGAAGATGTGGTATGAGTGCCAATGAGACAACTCTCCATCCAAGTCACAATTTGTAAAAGTAAACCATTATAGGTCAAAGTACGGCCTTCAACACAAGCTTTAAACGGCTCTAAAAATTATTAGTGTAAAACCATTCAAACAGGAAATCCAACGGTCTAATGTCAAAATAAAACACTCTTGGTTTTCTCTTGAAAGTATTAAATGTTCTCTATTAGGATAATAAAGAAATAAAAAAAAAAAACAATATAATGAAAAAGAGTATTTAAGATCTAAGTAACTTGTGGTTTTTTTTTCACAACAAAAAAAAACACTATGTGAAATGATATATATGCAGTTAATCTCGTCTGTACCCTCCACGGCCACGTCCACTGCCTCGACCTCTGTATTAAGGGGTACCCCTGCCTTGTTTGCTATTTTGTCTCGATCCTTGCCTTCGCGGTATGCGTTTTGGTAAATCTAAAATATTGTCAATAGTGTCTCTGATGTTTGAGGCTAATACTGCGGTCCCATTTGTAGTGAGATGGAACCCATCTTTTTCATCTATAAATCTTGGCAAGGCCTCTCCTTTGTTTGAAATATTGGAGTTATCACAAAAAGATACCATATTGTATTTTCTTAAACGGTCTTTGATCATGACGCTTATAAGTTGTGCCTTGAAGTCTAACTCGTCTGAGTCTGTTCTAGGTATTGGTAGAGAAATCACTATAGTTTGGAAATTGTTCCTGTGTTGAATCACTAATTGTAGTCATGCCTTCAGCATAGTCTTTTGGCTCCTTTGTGCGTAATTCATCAGTAAGGGAACGAAGAACAAGCACGGCCGGGACTTGTGGTAATTGCTTTATCTCCTTATGTGTTCATTCTAAAGTAAAAGCCGTTATTGTGTTAGCTGTGAAATTGGTTGAAAGCTTTTCTGCCTGGATACCACTTATATTTGATGTACCAATTACAGTAATGTGCGGTTTTGACTTACTTGTTTCCTTTCTTGGAGGAACTTCTTGAAATTCTGTGCTGTCATCTCTGCAATTGTGCATTTTTAAGCTTATGATTTCCTTATTCTTATTTTCTAAAGTATCATTTTTACTTGTCAACTCGGTTTACAAGGTGTCAATTTTCTTTCGGTTATCAGTTAACTCAGAAGCTATCTTTTCAATGTCAGTGTTAAGTTTGTGAAGCATATCCTTCTGATTATCAAATTGGGTCTTTAGAGTGGTGCATTTAGCTTCGAGATCGGATTTCAGAACTTGTGGTTCGAGGGTATTCAGGTGTGTTTGGTTTTTCAATTTACATTTCAGTTCAGTGTTTTCTTTTTCTACAGATACACATTGATTTGTTACAGTGTTAACCTTGTCAAACATGATAGTAAATTTTGTCTCATAGGATTGGATACTCTGTGAACATTTTTCTTGAATTGTCTCAATGCGTTTGCAAATCATAGCAGTTTGTTGGCCACACACTTTTTCTAAAGCTGAGGCAAACTTATCTTCAAAACTATGCATAAGTGTATTGACCTTTTCAGACTCTGCTTAGTCATATGGTACAACAATTGAGCAGGGGTCTGTCTGACAGCAATTATATTAAACAGGTTTCTGGTTTGTGTTGTTATTAAAATCTTGAGTAACTGACTTATTTGAAGAGGTATCAACAGGGGTTTTTGCAGTTGTTTCATCTGCGAAATGATCATCACCACTCCCTTCTCCATGATCATCTGTTTCTGTTTGTGTGCTTTCGACTATTGAGTTATGCTTGATAACTTTTTGTACAATGTCTATCAATATGGGGAAGTCCTTAGTTACAAAGTGGTCTTTGTGGGTCCCCTTAATTTGGAAAATCCCAGTGTTGATATGAAAAGTTATTTTAAATATAAATAACGGAATGTCATGTGTTGAAATATCAATGCATATTGACTTCTTTCCCCCTGATTTCTTATTCCACGTTATGTGTCATCATACCAATTCACTCTGAATTTGTCTTTTCCATCATAGATTTCGTAATAAAGTATCGAGAGGCCCTTTACGTATGGGGCAAGTTTGTTTACTGGGACTCGAAATGCTACTATGCTGGCTTGTGCATGTTGTGCTTCGTAGTAATTGTCATCAACTACATCATATTTGAGTTCTTTCGCCTTGTACCCTGTTGTTTTAGTGAGCTTATCAGGTAAACATTGTTTTTGGATAGTCATTGTACACACTGTTCAAACTGAGGTCATATGCGTGTATGTTTACATCTTGTTTATCGTCGAGAAGGCCCTTGTTTTGTTTAGCCATAATTAGTGGTTTCTTTGATATTTAAGTATCTTCTTAATTAATGTACATTTATAAATGAGGATTTAGGCTGTGTTGTGGCTGTTTGGGTTCTTTACAGAAAAAAAGTGGTCGTCGCCATCTTTAACCGGAAGTGTATACTGGTATATCTTTTCAATGTTTGTCCCATTTTAGCAAGGATGCTATCAATTATAAATTCACGAGAAATTGTTCTGGTAAATAGTAAAAAGAAATAAGTTGAAATCATAACAAAACTTCCATTTAATGTTATCATTTCCCTCCTTAAATAGCAACCACGAGTACAGCAGGCTATAAGAGATTGATATAAAATTGGTTTAAAATGTTGCTATGCGAATAAAGTATAAAGCTGGAGTACCAACTTCAATTAGTTTTTTTTTACTGCATGGCTGTATATCTCTCTGGAACATGCTAATTAGCCGTATATATGTGCAGCTAGATCAAAGAAAGTCAGGGAAAAACTTCCAAAGGTATCGATTGATATGCAGCAAAGATTAACACTTTTGAGGTTAAGTTACTAAGCAAATTCAAACGGACCTTATCCCGATGTAAACATCGAATGTGAATAGATCGTGAAGACCGCAAATATATGTACAAAAATCGAGACGACCATTTCTTAAAGTTGTATAAAAATAGTAAAAAGATACCTCCTACTTTATAAAAATATGCATCTTAATCTTTTGCATAGACAGTCTTTTAAATTATTACATTTACGAAAAGACAATACTTCTATATTGAATGTTCATGTGACAAGAGCAGACCGGTGAACTCGAAAACTAAGATGTGAAAAATATGTATATTTTGGGAAATTGTAACATGCTAAGGACTTTGTGGAACACTCCGAAAATTAACGATCCGAAATATCTTTAGATTTTGTATGTGCATGATTTTTTCCAATTTTTCTTTAAATACTGAACATAAAACATCATGTATTTGCATGTATATTTCTAATAACACAGTTTAACAAATAATTTCTATAAAATGTACATTGTTTTATTATTGATTTTCTCGACTAGGATTGTGCTTGATTTTCATATGATGAAGACATAATCTTTCAATCAGTTTAATTGAGGTCTGGAGCTGGGATGTCAGTAACTGCTAGTAGTCCATCGTTAATTTATGTATCATTGTCATTTTGCTTAGTTTCTTCTGTTACCTATGCTGACATCGTACTCGGATTCTTTTAAGCTGAGTTTTACTGTGCGTATTGCCGTGTGTTTGTTTATTCTACATTGGCTAGAGGTATAGGGGAGAGTTGTGATCTCAAAAAACATGTTTAACCCAGCCGCATGTATGCGCCTGTCACAAGTCAGGAGCCTCTGGCCTTTGTTAGTCTTGTATGTTTTTTAATTTTAGTTCATTTATATGTTTCAGAGTTTAGTGTGACGTCCAATTTCACTGAACTAGTACACATTTTTGTTTTGGCCAGCTGAAGCCTACCTCCAGGTGCGGAATTTTCTCGCTGTGTTGAAGACACATTGGTGGCCTTGGGCTGTTTTGTGCTCTTTGGTCGGGTTGTTGTCTCTTTGACACATTCCCCATTTCCATTCTCAATTTTATCTGTCAGAAGAAGAGTGACTTGTTTTTGTTTACGTTCACTAGATTTCCCACGTTTTGTGTTTTTTGTTGTGCGTAATATTGATTTGTGTCATGGATGGAAATCCCATATCCTCTCTATTAAGGCTTCGTACGGATATAAGGTCCTTCCATACCGTGGAAAATGTAAAATTCAAGAATAGGACCAATCAGTCGCTTTGTTTCTTTTCTATTCCCTGGACTAAAGAATTCTGCTCAAACCGGTGCTAGGGGCCGTCTTAAACTTGCAGTGAGGTAAGAGTTCCCTTTCTATTCCCTTTACTACATATATACGATTGAAAAGAGAAACAAACTAGCTTAAATTTAAACATACCCTTTCCTTTAGGATCGTCAATCAATTCGGCTCCTAGCAGATACACAACTGCAGAAATTGTCATTACTTTACAAAAGACTGTATATCCTCTCATCTAAAAAAATTAAAAGATACTGACGATTAAGAAATGTAAATATTTATTATTTCAGCATTGCATCTCCGAAATCTAAATTCATTGTCGATGCTACGATCCAGCAAATATGATTTGAACATCTATATTGCAACTATTTACATTAAATAATTTCTTGACCTCGGTTTATCCGAAGCAGCAGACGTTGGAGGACCTTTTCTAAAATACTGAAATGGATATAAATGCCACTTGTGTAAAATATTTCTTACTTCTTATATATTATTCCAGCGTAGAATATTGTTATCTAAACGAATGATTATCAAGAGTTAAGTCAACTGTTCTCAATTTTCAATTACTGAGATTAAATTGTCTCCCTTAAGAGGTTCCAAGAAAATCAATAAAATTGAGAATGGAAATGGGGAATGTGTCAAAGAGACAACAACCCGACCACAGAACAGACAACAGCAGAAGGCCACCAACAGGTCTTCAATGCAGCGAGAAATTTCCGCACCCGGAGGCGTCCTTCAGCTGGCCCCTAAACAAATATATATACTAGTTCAGTGATAATGAACGCCATACTAAACTCCAAATTGTACACAAGAAACTAAAATTAAAAATAATACAAGACTAACAAAGGCTAGAGGCTCCTGACTTGGGACAGGCGCAAAAATGCGGCGGGGTTAAACATGTTTATGAGATCTCAACCCTCCCCCTATACCTCTAGCCAATGTAGAAAAGTAAACGCATAACAATACGCACATTAAAATTCAGTTCAAGAGAAGTCCGAGTCTGATGTCAGAAGATGTAACCAAAGAAAATAAACAAAATGACAATAATACATAAATAACAACAGACTACTAACAGTATACAACCTCCTTTAAAACATTTCAAGACAGCTATCGAAACTTCGGATAAGTGATTTTGGCCCAAAATATAAATTTGTGTTCGGACACAACGGCTATTAAAACAAAAACAGAGAAGTTGTACGTCTAGTGGTCTGGGGTACTTCCGACAATCAAAGTGATCAAAATTAATATAATGGCAAGATTGGAAGAGTTGTGTGGAAAATTTCAAATCTTTATTTTGTCTTCAATTGAGGTAAGATGGGGGACAAAATAAATAATATACAATACTGCATTTAGTCTAGAAAGATAATGATTGAATGCCGGGAGAAGTGGGCTATCTGTCTTGTCATAACTGTATTCTACTGCCCAAAGATGGAAAATATCTAACACTGATGTAAATTATTTTATTACAGTCAAAAAATGATATAGTATAATTATTTGTTTTGAATTTCGACATAAAATTTTCTAGAAATTTAAATGGGTGTTCATTCGTAATTGGACAAAATACATTTCCTGTATTACAATTTACAGGTATAAATACTTTATACTGGTAGAATGGGGAATAACCATGCAAGGTATTGCAGAAATTGCCCAGGTTAGAGACATGCAATTTTACTATTTAGTTGACCAAATTGTGTGTTAATTTGTGTATTTAGATGTGTAATAAAGTGTCTGCTCAATTATATAATACGAGGGAAGTATTTGAAGGAATATATCAGTGTGTATTATAGTTTGAGTGGCTATATCCTTGTAGGTGAGGTCGATGCCTTCGGAAAGAATTGGAACAAAAATTGGGAATCACCTTTGATATGAAAACCTTTGACTGTAACAGATTGTATGCGTAATTACTAATATAATCATAAGATACTGATAAAAATGTTCCATAATTCTTATTAACTTCTGATATTCAATATTTTATAAATTTTGATTTACGAAGAACATATATGCAAGTGTGTATATTTAAATTTTAGTAGCTGTTCGATCCTTTAAATGATAATAAAGTTGGTAGTGGACGATTTAAATTGTGGTTTATATACTTAATGCATGTCATAAAACATTGATTTCATGATATATCTTAAATTCAGAATTCTGTACCATCTTAACATCAAGAGTGATCGTATAGACCCAGTGTGACTCCTGGATCAATAACACATAAAAACGTTTTGGAAAAGTTTTAATTTATTTCTTTTAACACTTTTTATTACTACATCAGTCAAATTACGTTTTTACGAATTGCTAAATTCAGTCGTTTTCCTTATAATATTGATGAAGTAGCATTTTTTTATTGTGTTGAATTTGATTGACTCTAAACATCCAGCAACAAATGTGATATAAAAGATATTCAGAAGAATTAATATATGGAAAGTTGTATTTCCCTGAATACCTGCTTTGCAACCAATAAAACTCAATTTGTAAAGCAAATCACACAGTACAAGGAAAAATATTACTTTCGTGATTCGTATGACAAATCTTAACTTTTTTCCAACATTATAATACAATTATATTATTTCTATGAAACTACAGAAAAGACATTAAGTAATGTTTAAATCTGCGGATAGCCAGAAAATGTAAAAAGTTATTCTTTATCTTTCCTGTATCTTTTCTCGTCTTTTTCATTAAGCCCATCAGGTTTCTTAAGTATGGAGATGGTGGATCCAAAAGTTTTCTCTTCTCCTTCTCGCTGTGGTGTCCCACTCAGTGTTTACTTCTATGATTTGGAAAGTAACATTATCAAAAGGATGTTTCTTTGAGCGGAGATGATTATTGAGGGGACAGTTTTTGTTGGTTTTGTACCATGATCGATGGTTATTTAGCCGAAAATTAAATTGGTCCCTTGTTTCTCTCACGTACTGAATGCCGCAGGTGTATATGTTTATACATAGATTGAGTTTTACAGTTGTAATTTGTGTAGATGGTATAATTAACTTTGTTTTGTAAAAGATCTGGTGAAAGAACTGCTAGTATTGGCAGCTTTACAACATAAGCAATTCCTTCTCTCACATTGTTTGTAGCAACCGGGAGACGGAGTATGTTGCTTTGTTAATACAGCTGTCACTAATTTGTCACGGATGTTTTTAGGTCTCCTGAAGGCCATGACTGGTGGTGAGGAAAATACTTTTTTTTTCAAATTGGAATCATTCTCTATAATTTTCCAATGCTTTTTAACAATGGATGACACATTTTTAAAATCAGGATGGTAAGTTTGTACAAGAGGTGTTCTGTTGACTCCTTTATTCTTATCCTTGTACTCCAAAAGTTCTTGGCGTCTAGTTCTGTTTGCTTTTTCGAAAGTGTTATTGTATCATCGAAAAACTAGATGTTTACGTAGTTGTCCAAGTCTAGCTTAGTCTTGCTTATTATATATATAAATATATATAAAGGACTCGGAGGTGCGATGGGGACGCTGAAGTACGATGGCCACGCTGTAGTGCGATGGTCCGTTCGCTGATGTGCGATGGTCTATATTACGCATGATGGCTAGTTTAAAATATACAGATGTTCAATTATCAAACCTATGAGAATAAGATTATTTTAATAGTTAGTAGATAAATTTGCATACGTTATTGTCTATGTAAGTCCTTAGTTACAGTCGCAAATAAAATGTGAGATCATTCTCGTTGATTTTCTGCATGTGAACATAATTCTGCGTTAATATTTTATCTTTACCTGAGTTCAGCGTTCACAGTAATATTATAACACGAAGAGTCTGTCTTCGGACCCGTGTGTATTGAGAGAAGGCCACGCTCCATCGTACGTAAAAAAAATCATTTTACAGATTTCGAAAACAAGTTCGCTACAGAAGTTACAGAAGGTTCTATATCCACCAATCACTCCCCGTTTCCCATAGTATTAAAAGTGTAGAAACCACTAATCAACTTTAAAAATCCCGAAAAACTGCTTCTAACAAACAAATTGATTTCTGCATCGACATGAAAAGCATTGAAAATATAGTTTGTGTAGTTCATCGCACTTCAGCTTTACCACCATCACACTTCGGCGTAGGATAAACAAGATAGTGTCACAATGCCAACTTCGGCGTCTGACCATCGCAGTTCGGAGTACCATCGCGGTTCAGAGTCCTACATATATATACATTAATTACGAGTTTTTGTATTTTTCATACTTTAACAGTAAGTTTTTCCCTTTATATGGCTTTCAAAGCATACATCATCATGGGGTGACGTACATAAGACTAGTATTTTGGAGTGAAGTTCTTTTAATACAGAATGAAGCTTGTTACAAGAGAATTACTTGTGTATGTGTCTATATGCTCAAGTGTTTGGTATATTGGAATTTTGGACGTGTATGTGTGTTTGTATAAAACAAGATTCTTCCTATTTTTGTATGTCTGAGAGTATTGTCTGGAAATGTATGGCCCCTTACCGGTTAAAAATTTATTGTACTGGAACAAAATGCTAACTTAATCGGTAAATTGTAATATTTTCTATATTAAAAAAAAGTTAAAATATCTCCTGGTGCAAGTATTGACCACTAAATCTGTTTTTCAAAAATAATATATGCAGAAAACTGATTATTTGCGTGAATTTTCTAAATCAGAGGACCATTCATTTTTGTATGTATTTGTATTTGTCAGAATTGTTGGTCCACATATCTTCAGCAATTGGTGTGACTTCTCAATAACACAATCAGATGTAATGTAGATATACCTCAGACAGGTTAATGCGTTAAACATTTTAGCTAGTTAGATGATTGTGTAAACGAGGCTACAATACAGTTTTGTAATTGAATAGCAAAATATAGCGATATCAACATTATTTATACAAAATATGTCTGTATAACTTACTTTTGCGTTTGTTAATTCAACAATAGAATCATGTATTCCATTTTTAAGTCATATTGCGGAAACACAAACGTTTGACAAACAAAGCGACTAATACACACACTTAATTTAACAGGAAATATGCACTTACACCATTTTATATGTGTAATTATGATACGCTAAAGTACACCAAACTAAAGTTAAGTATCCACTTCTTACATCCTACATGTTGGAGGACATTGATTGCTTGTATCCAAGTACTTTATATGTATAGTTAATATTAATTATGACTACTTCAGAATGAGTAAGAGGGAATGTGGGACATACCTTAATTAAACAGCAGCCCAACGACTTAGAATTTATATATGTTTGGTCTTAAACGACAAACAAGTGACTATTCAGGTTGCATGGTGTTGGTCCATTTGTCAAATGACTGTTTAGACTGCATATAATTGTTTTTCATGACTGTTCAGGCTGCATGTGGCAAATCTATATGCCAAATGACTTCTCGACTGCATGTTGCTCATATATATATATATATATCAAGTTACTGTTCTGGCTGCGTGTAGCTTACCTATATACCAAGTGACGGTTCAGACTCCATGTGACTTGTCTATATATCAAGTGACTGTTCAGACTGCATGTGGCTTATCTGTATGTCTAGTGACTGTTCAGACTCCATGTGACTTGTCTATATATCGATTAACGGTTCAGACTCCATGTGACTTGTCTATATATCAAGTGACTGTTCAGGCTGCATGTGGCTTATCTTTGAATTAAATGACTGTTCGGACTACATGTGACTTGTCAATATATCAAGTTATTGTTCAGACTACATGTGACTTATCTGTATGTCAAGTGACTGTTCAGACTACATGTGACTTGTCTATATATCAAGTGACTGTTCAGACTATATGTGACTTGTCTATATATTAAGTGACGGTTCAGTCTCCATGTGACTTATCTATATGTCAAATGAATGCTTAGACTACATGTTGCTTGTCTTTATATCAAGTGACGGTTCAGACTCCATGTAACTTGTCTATATATAAAGTGACGTGTCAGACTCCATGTGACTTGTCTATATATCAAGTGACTTGTCAGACTCCATGTGACTTGTCTATATGTCAAATGAATGTTTAGACTGCATGTTGCTTGTATATGGCATTTGCCTGTTCCGACTACATGTTGCTTGTTTATATATCAAGTGACTGTTTATACTGCATTTGGCTTGACTATAGGCAAATAATGACTTTTTTATATGTGGAGTGACTTTTCATACTCTATACATTTTATGTGTCTTGTCTGTATGACAAATTAATGTTCAGATTGCATGTGGTTTGTCCATATGCCAAATAACTGTTCTGATTGCCATGACTGGTCTTTTTGTCATGCATTTACAGATGGACCTGAGTTTAAAGAAGGATTGTTTGTGGACTAAATTTTCATTTCCACCTGTTGTTAGTACAGAGTATTTTTGTGAGGGTCTTTTGAATACCGTTCATTCACCAAACACCACGGTATAGTTTACACCATTCGGTCACCAAACACTACGGTATAGTTTACACCGTTCGGTCACCAAAGAACACGGTAAAGTTTATACCGTTCGGTCACAAAACAACACGGAATAGTTTACACCGTTCATTCACCAAACACCACGTTAAGATTATACTGTTCAGTCACAAAGTACCACGGTATATGTTACACCGTTCAAATACCAAACACCACGGTATAGTTTACACTGTTCGGTCACATTACACCACGGTATAGTTAAAACAGTTCTATCATCATACACCACGGTATAGTTTACACCGTTCGGTCGCCAAACACCGTGGTATAGTTTACACCGTTCGCTCACAAAACACCATGGTATAGTTAACAGCATTTGGTCACCAAAAACTGCGATATAATTTACACCGTTCTATCATTAAACACCACGGTATAGTTTACATCATTCAGTCACCAAACACCACGGTATAGTTTAAACCGTTCGGTCACCAAACACCACGTTCTAGTTTACACAGTTCAGCCATAAAACACCACGGTATAGTTTACACCGTTCGGTCCCCAAACACTACGTTATAGTTTACACCGTGCAGACACCAAAAAGTACGTTATATTTTACATCGTTCAGTCACCAAACACCAAAGTAAATTTTATACCATTCAGTCACCACGCACCATGGCATAGTTTACACCGTTCAGTAACCCAACACCACGTTATAGTATAACCGTTCGGTCACAAAACACTACGTTATAGTTTGCACTTTCAGTTACCAAACACCACGTTATAGTTTACACCGTTTGGTCACCAAACACCAAAACGGTATAGTCTAAACCGTTCGATCACCAAACACCACGGCATAGTTTACACTGTCTGTTCACATAACACCACGGTAAAGTTAACACAGTTCTATCATCAAACACCACGGCAAAGTTTACACCGTTCGCTCACCAAACCCCGCGGTATAGTTTACACCGTTCGCTCACCAAACACCACGGTATAGTTAACTACATTTGGACACCAAACACCACGGTACAGTTTACACCATTTGGTCAACAAATACCGCGATATAATTTACACTGTTCTATCATTAAACACCACGGTATAGTTTACATTGTTCAGTCACCAAACACCACGGTATAGTTTAAACCGTTCGGCCACCAAACACCACGTTCTAGTTTACACCGTTCAGACACCAAACACTACGTTATAGTTTATATCGTTCAGTCACCAAACACTACGTTATAGTTTACACCGTTCAGTAATCAAACACCAAAGTAAATTTTATACCATTCAACCACCAAGTACCATTGTATAGTTTACACCGTTCGGTCACCAAACACCAGGCTATAGCTACACCGTTCGGTAACCAAACACTATGTTATAGTTTACAACTTTCAGTCACCAAACACTACGTTATAGTTTACACCGTTCAGTAATCAAACACCAAAATAAATTTTATACCATTCAACCACCAAGCACCATGGTATAGTTTACACCGTTCGGTCACCAAACATCAGGCTATAGCTACACCGTTCGGTCACCAAACACTATGCTATAGTTTACACCTTTCAGTCACCAAACACCACGTTATAGTTTACACCGTTTTGTCACCAAACTCCAACATGGTATAGTCTTAACCCGCAGTCACCAAACACCACGGTATAGTTTACACCGTTCGGTCACCAAACAACACAGTATAGTTTACTACGTTCGGTCACCCTAAACCACGGTAAAGTTTACACCGTTCAGTCACCAAACACTTCGGTATAGTTTACGTCGTTCAATCACCAAACACCACGGTATAGTAAACATCTTTCGGTCACCAAACACTACGGTATAGTTTACATCGTTCGGTCACTAAACATCATGGTATATTTCGTATCGTTCGATCACCAAACAACACAATATAGTTTACTACGTTCGGTCACCCAACTCCGACATTTACCTGCATAACTATATTGCTGAAACGTCATATCATTCATGCCTCAAAATTCTGAAAAAAAGTTTAATGCGTAATCCATCAAAGCAGTCGTTCCGTCATTTTTAATATGAACCTACTCGAAGTAAAAATATACTGTTATTTCTGATAATTGTTTTTGATACATAATCTGATAAGTGATTGATAAATAGCGTTTCGTTTAGAAAAGGTAACAACGAATCAAATATGTATCACACATTTTGACAATACTTGGCACAAGTGAAATATCTCGGAATGTTTAAGAGTTTGTATTTGTCTTAGAAAACTTATATATATTTAGTGCTTATAAAAAGCAACACATCACATACAAATCTATTTGAGTGTGGTTTAATCAGTACACAGATTAATACAATTACACAAATAAAATTATAAATTGCCTAACAATGTAATTTTAACACATTATTTGGTATGTAAATATTAAAATGTTAAAGATATTTACATTGCGATAAAAAAATAAACGCAATATTTCGCTAGACAAACTAGCTTCATCGAGCGTGCATCTATCCAGGTGAAATCGGATGCAGATAAGAAACTTTTGTAGCTCATTGTACATTGAATTTTGCTGCTTAAAAAATAAATTCAAAAATTTGGATGAAGTTCAAGATTATTTATTTAATTACGAAATCTGTTGTTGAAGTAAGGTAATTTTGCTACGTCCATTGGCCAATATTACAGAGATATTAAGGAAGATGCTACATACTAAATTATTCTTTATCTTTCCTGTATCTTTTCTCGTCTTTTTCATTTTAGACCAACAGGTTTTCTCTTCTTCTTCTCGCCGTGGTGTCCCACTCAGTGTTCAGTGAGTTGTCAAATTTGAAATATTTACAAATTTAGATCGTTCAGTGCTGTTTATTTGGAATTCTTATTGACGCAATCGTTCTTGTAACATCATAACTGTCGTCACCGTTAAAGCTTTAGAATTGTGCTAGTTCATATCGCACATTATTATTTTTATTTAAAGCATATATTTGAACTCTCTGCTGTAATTAGTCATATAACCTATGTCGTGTTTAACTCATATTTATAATTGTGCAAGCGTCTTACCTGATGTTCGGTTTGACTTTTTTATTGTATAAATTTCAAGATTGTTATAGTTTAATTTAAGTAGACTGATATATGATTCATTCAACATCACAATCATATTTACTGATGAAGGATATCTGTTATCCGAAATATTTATAAATAATTACATTTATAGTTCCTTTTTTTGTTATTGGTGTTGTTGTGTACACTTTTTAGGCGTTTATATATATATATATATATATATTATTGTGAAACTACCCCTTCACAATGGGAGCAAGCGCCAGTGGGGTACTGAAACCTGCGTCATCAAAACATATAATAGTATTTACAAACAACATTATATGATGGTAGTAAAACATGTTACAAGATAGTGACAAATTTTTAAAAGTCTAATAATTACATTAACGCTAAAATAACATAATATATTTGTTATTTCGTAAAAGTACATTTCAATAACGATCCGTATAGTATATGAAATCTATCTATTATCCATAAAGACATAAAACTTTAAATCTAAAACTTTCGCACACAGTTCATGATAACGGTATTATAAATTTGAAATTTTATCAATTATAAAAAAACGTTCATTCATAACGTCTGTAAGAGAATTTTTCTCGATCTTATCGTAACTATAACCTAAGTCGGGAATACAAGAAACCCAGATCACT